TAGGATCGGGCGAAGATGCTCCGCTCCGCTAGAACTTTGTGACATGCTTAGCATTTTGTATATTCAATACTTTGTATCCTTGATGATTTGATTGATAGCCTTGATGTCAAGTAAGTAATATTCTCACTCTAACTATTAAAGTATTCACGGTAGCACAGGAGAGTAGGCGGACTTCGTTCTCCGGTATCTCACTGATAACAGTGATTTGGGAGCCTGAGTTTCCGATATTAAAATTGGACGTGTCAAAGCCTTTCTTGGGAACCAGGCAAACTCCGCCTGAAAATTTTTCAGGCGTTCTCGTAGGCTTTTCTCAACTTGGGACGGTTGCGGTTTACTGCTTCAGTGAGGCTCGGCCTGATGCATTTACCCCGAAGGATTCGGAATAATTTTGGTGGGTTTATGGTTGCAATCTCGAGTGTTATGCGATAGACTTGTGAAGAATGTATACAGAGAGTTCACTATGAGCTCTAATGAACCATCTAAATTTCCATTTCATTATCGATGAATTCGAACTAGGAACTATTTTGAAGTTCTTAATCGACTCTGGAACATATACTAAATTACAAGATGGAGTTTGGAACCGGAATCGGTTCGTTGATTGATCTTTTACGACGGGACCAAAACCACTCTGTAAGGTTGCCACACTTTCCTGTTTTCCTCCTCTATGTCAAGTAGTGGCAATGTCACCGCAATTGATGAGAAGGTAACTGAGTCGCCGAGTGACTCCGCTGACACCTCTCTGCTCGGGCCGTGGTTGACATTACCTATCTTATCACAATGCTGTGGGGTGGCGTATCTTTTCGCTTGGTCGGCTATGTATTACCCCCAATTATACCTCAACTACAAGCGGAAATCTGTGCAGGGATTCTCTCTCGATTTGTGGTTGTACAATCTCTCTGGTTTCCTCGGGTATGCTGTATACAACTGCTACCGAGCATACATGCAGATGGCATTCGACTTGCCTAGAGCAGTGAAAACTCATGATGTTGTTTTTTCTGTGCATGGGCTAATTTGTAACATCCTCATTGGTCTCCAGATCTACTTTTATGAGAGGGGTGGTCAGATGATATCGAAGTGGACTTGGGTGTTTGTTATTATTGCGTGTGCTGTTTTTTTATATCTGTCCTTCTTGGCCTGGTTGCAGTTGTTACCTTGGGATTCCCTCATGAACACTGACGGCTCAACAGCATTGATTACACCTATTCAGTTCTTGGGCACTATCAAAGTCATTATAACCTTCGTTAAATATATACCGCAGATTATAATGAATCATCGTCGAAAGTCAACAGCAGGTTTAGCGATTCAAGTTCCGATGATGGACATTGCTGGAGCTCTCTTCAGTGGTCTTCAGAATATACTAGATGCGATCTATCAAAGTGATATACACATCGTAACTGGAAATCTGCCTAAGATGCTTATAGGGACCGCAAGTTCTCTCTATGGCTTCATAATTCTCTTCCAACATTATGTGCTATACCGAGCATCGAGTCGTTATGAGCCGGTATCTGAGGTTGAACTGGGGTCCTTGGACAAGCAAGGTCGACCAGCAGTCAAAGTCTATCAGGGACCTC